AATCCAATAAAATTACTCACCAAAAAATTAAAGGATTTGGAAATCAACCATCTTGCAGAAGAACGAAGAAGTGAGGCGATTACAGGGAGAAGAGAGAGATAGCGATTGATCGGCGGCCGGCAAATGGTCAGGGTAGTCGAGGTTAGGAAAGAGAAAGAAGGTGGTGGGGGTGGGGGTTAGGTGGTGATGTGGTGGTGGTTAAGGTGGGTAGCCATGGTAGAGTGTGCTAAGGTAGGTGGGAGATGAGAGATTGAAAAAATATATATTAAAAAAATAAGTTGTTAAACATGTTGTAGGTTAAAAGGCCCGTTTTGAGCAGATGGGCGTCAAAGGTGGGATTGTTTCCAGATTTCGAAAAGGTAGGATTGTTTTGAGTAGAAAAGCCAAAGGTGAAATTATTAGTTTCCATTTTTCTTACAAAAAAAAAGACATTAACTTTAATGAGGCAAATAAGTAAATAAACATTTTAGAGAGTATAATTGTCCAAACACTCAAATGAGCAAGGCTTGTAGTTGGGGCGTTCCTATTGTGCGACGTGTTGCACTTCTCAGACCCGGGTGTAGTGATAAGTATGCAAAAGGTTGCTAGGTCATCGCTCGAAAGCGACGCGCCACATTACCCGAGTGTGGTGTCAAATGAGCAAGGGCTTGCAGGTGGGGGCACAAGGGAGTGCGGCACGAAAGAAAGCGTGGTACGAGGGAGCGTGTTGAGGAAGGACTCTAGTCTGTGGATTGATTCTTGGAATGTGGGGTCTCTTACGGGGAAATCGACAAAAGTGGTAGAAGTGATGAAGAGAAGACATGTAAACAACATGTGCCTCCAAGAGACAAGGTGGACAGGAGAAGACCGTTTTGGGGTATAAAGTGTGGTACGTTGGACAGGAAATACACAGGACTAGGAATGGAGTTGGGTTGATTCTTGATGATAGGTTGTCGAAAGAGGTAATCGAGGTCTATCGGAAGAATGATAGGTTGATAAGGGTGAAGTTGCTATGTGGCAAGGAAATTGTTAATGTTATTAGTGCTTATGCTCCCCAAGCTAGTTTAGATGCAGAGGGGAAACGACCATTGTGGAAGGACTTAGACAAGGTGGTACAGGGTATCCCCCACACAGAGAAACTATATATTGGAGTGATTTGAATGGGCATGTTAGGGTAAATCGAGATGGCTTCGAGAGTGTTCATGGAGGCTTTAGGTATGAGCAGAGGAGGCGGGTGGTGAGACATTCATTAAGAGTTAAATCATTTTCCTTAAAAAAAAGTTAAATCATTGAATCACACAAGGAAAATTTTAGAGGCAATTAAAACCATATCAATAAGGGCATAAAGGTAAACAAATATTTTATAATGATATAATAGTCCTTACACTATTTATAATTGTTTTCTCATACTTTTTTAAAAGGTAGGGATAGTGATATCCAAAGTGACCTGAAATGATTTTACTAAAATTGAAAGTTATTAGATACCAGAAGTGGTTTGACCCGATTTTAACCCAAACAGACCCAAAACCCAAAGTGACCCAAAGTGAAATTACTTAACGCCCAAAATGATCTGAACCAAAATTATAATTCATGTAATCACCATTAAGAAATTTGTATTTAATATTTTTTTTGAAAGTAAAATTCATATTTAATATTGTAGAACGTATATCGGAGCTGATACGTACCTCTTATAGGCTTCTATCACAAAAAATTTGTTGAAAACTTTTTAAAATGTTAAAAAAAATATGTATATTAATTCAGTATGAAGAATGTCGTTACATAAATGCTTTAACAAATTTTAAAAGCTTAATGGTATTAATATCATGATTTTGGCTTTAAAATAAATAAACAAGTAAAAAGTATACAGGGTATGAAAAAATATAATTCATTTAGTCATACACTCTCTAATATTTTTATAGATGCTAGATTGAGTGTTAATAAAAAAAACTTCCAAAACTTCTCATATTAATAAGTCATAAATAAAATATTGATTATTGTGAATTCATAATACATAATTTAAATTGTATTTTATATAATTTTATGCATTGTGATGTATGGATGAAAATGGTAGAATAGTTATTGGCATTAGTGGTCGATTTAACAATAGCATATGATAGAAAAGAAATATCCAAATTTGAGACAAAAATATTGAATATAATCAATAACGTGGAAAGTTGAATGTTGATTTGTTGATTAATTTTTGTAATGACTTTTTCTTTCTTTCTTATTAATGGATTAGTTATTCAAAATTTTGGAAACTCACATCATTATACAAGATTTCATTTCTTATTTGTTATACTTTTAGGGGCAATTTAGCTAGTTCAAAAAGTTGGACACCAACTTTTCACTCCCTCTCCTCCCCCGCCCTTAGCTTATATAATAAAAATCTATTACTAACCATCCTATAAATTATTATTTAGAGTAATGCACATGTTCCAAGGACATACATCCAATAACACCAATAATAATATTGTGATTCAAACGCTTGTTTTTGAACAATATATATAAGAAGTAAAGCATTTGAGGTGGCAATTATGGGCGAAAGGCCGGAGAAAAAGTCAATTCTCTTCAACTAAAGAGTTGTAATAAGTTGAGTAAGACATATAGGAATGAAGATTAAAGTTTGAGTCTTGGACTATGTACAAATAAGGTGAGGCCATTCGACACTCTTATTTAGCTCTCAATATTTAAATGGAGTTACTTCGAGTAATCTATAACTTGTCTTAATGATTGTGTATGAAACGCTGATACATAATGTTATCACTTTTAATATTGGGGCCACAATAGCTAGAAAATGATAGTTTTCTTTTACCTCTTGAACCCCTTGTTGAAGATTTGATATAGATGTAGTTTTAAGTGTGACTAGGGGAGCTAACACGCGCCATAGCTAGACATGTACGCGAGAACTTTTTTTTAATTTGACCTTATATCACAACTTTAGTTAGTGGCAATATTAATGAAGAAAAATATGTAAATAAATATGTTAGGGGTATAAATTTCAGCACACTATTATGAAGAGTTCAAAAGATAGACAATTAACCTACATTAATGAGAAAGTAAATAAATGTTTTTACAGGGTACAATTATTCAAACACTATTCATAGGAGTTATTTCAAACTTTCTAAAAGGTAGGGATTTGAGAAAGATGTAGTTTTAAGTGTGACTAGGGCGGCTAACTAACACGCATCATAGCTAGACATGCGTGGAGAACTTTTTTAATTTGACCTTTGTATCACAACTTTAGTTAGTGGCAATATTAATGATGAAAAATATGTAAATAAATCTTTTAGGGGTATAAATTAAATGTCAGCATATTATTCTTAAGAGTTCAAAAGACCGACAATTAACTTACATTAATGAAGGCAAATAAGTAAATAAACATTTTCAAAGGGTATAATTGTTCAAATAGTATTTATAAGAGTTATCTCAAACTTTTTAAAAGGTAGGGATAAGAGATAACATAGTAATTATTTCATTAATGAAAGAGATGTGAGACCTTGGTTTTTTATTAGTAATGAAAAATAGAGAAGTACGTTATAGATAGAAGGTCTTTGCCAATAACTATCAGGGAAACAAAATTGGAATTAATACTTGGATTCAAAATCATAAAGAACATCAAATTAAATCAAGTCTCAAGGTCTAATTTATTAAACATCATAGCAAGGTGTTGAAAAAACTAATCAATATACAACTTGATTAAGCCAAATAAATCAAACCAATAAAAATGGATGTATACAGTTGTACCTCTAGCTTGATTTCTCCAACACCTATCCACTATGATAGGTAGTTTCACAAGAAAATGTCATATTGTAATTGAGGAGGTTCTCATCATCTTAGACTCTTTGTATGGCACTTGACCAAACATATTGTGGTACACTTGTCTACCAAAGATATGCCTAAAATGGAACGTATACATTTAATTTTTCTGCCTTAAATGAAATTTAATCAATGGAAAGACTAATTTTAAAGCGAGTCAAAATTATTTTCCCCTTGTGTAATCCATTTTCTTGGCAGATTGTAATTCGATATGATAGAGATTTTTTTTTTTTTTTTTTTTTTTTTTTGAATTCCACAAGTATTACAAAAAGAACAATAATTTCGAGATAATTTGTGAGTCAATATTTTAGAGAAAATTCTACAAGAGGGCTCCACCTTGCTAATAGTTAAAATTTATAATTAATCTTCATACTAATGTTATCATGGTTTAGCATCGCAGGGAAGAATCTCCAGATTTATTAGCGAAGGAAATAATCTTTGGTAGTAGAAAACATACTTTGTGTTTTGCAATGCCTTTACAGTTCCCAACCCATTAATGATAATAATATACGCCTTGTTGTCTCAACTTTCAGCTAAAAGTACTTAACCTACATACGTCTACACGGAAGTCATCGATAATACTTTGACTTGGTCACAATAGTCAACCATTGCACTAAATAATGATGTTAGCTTTTGATTTAGACCTGTTTTTTCTTATTATTATCTTATATTGCTCAAAAAAATTTCCATCATATAATAATCTCCTTTTTTATATTTCCTGAAATAATTAATGTATGTAAAGGTACCTGTCTTTATCTCGATTAATAAACCTTCATCCATTCTCCTAATATTGCAACAAGGAGATTCGTTGGTTGGGCATGTAAATTAAGGAAGGGGAATAGTGAAGAGAGAGAAACAAAAGTGGACAAATTGGTCACGTGTTAACTACAATAATAATTGAAGCGAAAAGATACACCCATGAGAGTAGAGTTAGAACTTCATAAGCAATGTTTTTTTCAAAAACAGAGATACTTAGGGGTGAAAGTAATATGGATTAAAACTGAAACCAAACTGTACCGTACCAAACCGAATTAACAATTCGGTTTGGATTTTTTTTTTTTTTAACTTGGATCAGTTGTTTGGATTCAGTTTTATGTTTTAAAAAACCGAAAACCGAATAAGAAACCGAATTTGGGCCCAAAATACTTAAGTCCATTGCTGAAGCTGCACAAACACTATTAACATGGGCTTTCAATTCATACAGAGTATATAAACTAAAAATAAAAAACCCTAAGCCCCACTTTGTGTTTCTCTTTCCTCTCAAGTGCAGCTTTTGAGCTTCTCTTTCCACTCTTACTTTTTCTCCTTTCTGATATCATGCAAGAGATTATCTCCTCTCATTTTCTCTCCTCTATCAAACAAATTTTGAGTTAATTTCTCTTGCACTGGCCTCTTGTTACTCTCTCAGAGCTTCGAACTCCAACAAATGACTCAATTCTTTATTAGGTCCATCCTTTTTCTTACTACATATCGCGGCCGCGTTTCTTAGGGTTCTTTCTGAGGAGCTAGAGGTGTATGTAAAGAAGCAAGTAACAAACGAGCCAACAAGATCTGAGTGTTTTTATGTAATTTGTATGTCAAAAGTATTGGTGGACAAATTTAATCCTTATAATATATAGTTGATGCTATAAAAACTAATGTTAATATTTTGTCAAGTTATGGTTCTTGTTAATGTGTCTTTAAAATCTTATAATTTTCTTGTTTATTTGTGTTAATATCACTAACCTAAAAATTAGATAGGCTAAAAAAATTCGGTTTTCGGATTGGATTATGTTTGATTATTGGAAAATCGGTTTGGATTGGACCAATTTCCAATTCGGTTTGGATTTGGATTGAAAATTCTAAAACCGAATTATTTCGGTTTGGGCCATAATCCAATCCGAATATCGAACTTTCACCCCTAGAGATACTAGAATATTTGTGAAATTTCCTTAAAATTAATAATTGTGGCAATCTTAGAGAAACAAAGAAAGGAGGAAATTCTAATTTATTTCCACGATAAACTTCAGCTGTTTATCGGGGGGTTTTTTTTGGTAACTTTGCTGCAGTTAGTAAGGGTATTCACATAAATGTCCCATTACTAAAGTTGACAGCCGTTTACTTCTGTTAACCATAGATAACCCAAGGTGAACCAAAGGTGGTTAGATAGGAGAGAGAAGGCCAGTTAGAGAGGAGAAAAGAGAAACCCTTAGAAAACATGAAACTTCACCAACCCAGTGATACTTCAGCAATCAAGTAAAAACCACGGCGGCTATTTGGCGACAATGATGGCTACTGATTAACCATAACGACGCAAGCGACCGGGATTTGGGGCGGTGGCGACTAACTTAGGCGGCGGCGACGATTTGGGCCAATTGCGACCGGTGACTTCAACGACACAGGTGGCGGCTACTGGGACGACGATTGGGTTTACCTTGGTTCTGGTAATTCGGTTTTTTTGCTCATTTTCATCACCTCTCTCTGATTCTTGGAGTAAACATTCAAAAAAATGATAAAAGAAGGTGGTCACTTGTAGCCTTGCAACTAACTATGGTTAAAATAGACCATCGTCCGGTCAAAATAAGCTTAACAGACATTAAAAATAACATTTCACAATTTTTTCAGACACCTTTGTTTACTTTATCCACGTGTAAGCAATTTAGCAGTTTCCAAGTGATCTGTCCCATTTCCTTATGCAATTATTTACAAAATTGCAATCTGATAAACAAAAGGAGATAAATGGGGGCCTCCTCCAAAGAAAGTATAAAAGAAGCACACAACAGCTAAAACAAATTAACTACCTTAGCTTGTTTGCCTTATTCTTACCCACTTTAGAGTGAAGATTTCGGTAATTTTCCCTCCACATTATTATTCCCTTACTCTTCCTCTACATTCTACTTTCAACCTTCAAGGTGCCATGCTTACTAAGCCGCATTATTTGAGTGGTTGAATCATGTACGGTTTGGATCAAAAGACACTTCTTTTTACATGGAAAAGAATGTAACTTGCTTGCTTAATTTAATACAAGTAAGAAATTGTAAAATAAAGCTTGAATATTGATTTCCATATTATCTTTTTTTCTTTACAATTAGATATCCTAACTAACAAATATATTAGGAATGAGAGAGCCCAGGTTTATAACAGTGATAAAACCTAGGCTGTTTATCTCACGCAATTATTGTACTACAAATTCATTGGTTTCCGCGCTAGCCCATTAAAAAATATATTATGTACTTCATTTGTCATATGGCAGTGACTGATGAGATGACGGACGTTTTGCTACTGTTTGCAAAATTCATCATCTTCCTCCTTCTATCTTCTTCTTCCTATTCATCTTCTTCTTCCTTCTTGTACATCTACTTCTTCCCACCTTTGAAGCCGTTGGAATTAAAATGAAAGTCCTAATAACGAAGGGAGAAATAAAGGGCATGGTTAACCCGGCCTAAAGGGTAGGTAAGCTTTCCTTCCTCCATTGATTTCACTTGTTTGATTGTGAAGACTGAAAAGTCATTATTTATGCCATTGAACTCAAGGTTGAAGCAAGAAAGAGAAAACCAAGGGGAGAGAGAACAGGAAACGACAGTTAAGTCAAAGTTAAATGCTAATTACATAAGTGCCCCCGTGAATGGTTTATCTCTGTTATAAACTTGTATTTACCCATTAGGGATTCCTCTTGTAAAGAGGGCTTCATAATGTTTATTTTTTATACCTTTAAAAAATATATATATATATAAAAACAGATGTATCCTAAGGCCCTGTTCACTTTACCTTAATTTTGCTGAACTAAATTATTCAACTAACTGAAATTATTTTTGCTGTACTAAAATTATTTTTATTGATCTATTGAAATTAATTTTACTGAACTAAAATTATTTTTATTGGTTCTCTATTATAATTATTTTTTAGGGTTACTGATTTTATTGAACTGAAATTATTTTAACTGGACTGAACTGAACTGAAATTATATTTACTAAATATTTTCTTAAAGTTGAACCGAATAGGGCCTAACTATACTAAAAGAATATAAATTTTACAAGTAATTTTTATTTTTTTTAAAGTACACCCTATAGTATCACTTGTAGCACATATATTTCATACTTTGTCAAAATTTTATAATCTTTCCACTTCACAATCAAACTAATTGTTCTCTTTTTAGAAAGGTGTAAAAATAGACAATTACCTTAAAAATCGTCAACCTTTTACAACACATTTTTTTTTGTTTTTTAATTTTCAAAAAACCATTGCTAAACATTTTTTAGAAAAATCAGAAATCAATTTTAAAAAAAAAAATTAAAAAAATAAAAAAAATGCAAGTTTGGAGTTCAAGAATTAACACAAACAACCATATCAAAAAAAGTTGTTGCCGTTGTTCTTTGTTCCCGCCAACTGCTCCAATTTTTTTGGTACGCTCCAATTAAAAAACAATTTAAATTTATTTTTAAAAAAATCTCTCTTAATTTCTTCTTCATCTTTTTCCTTTGATTTCAGTTCAATTTCTAACCCTAATTTTCTCATCTCAAATCAATTTGGGGGAAAATGACGGAATTTAGGGTTTGCTTCTTCTATTTTACTCTCTTTCGTCGCCTTCGTCTTCCCGATTACTATCAATTTGGACGGTCAAAGCCACCCAACTAACCACCTACATTTGGAATTTGGTGAGTCGCAATTCTTAATTAATTTATGAATTCATGTTATCGCAATCGAATCAATTAGGTTTTATTTAATTATTTCACGATTTGTTGCTTGAATTTCACTCACATATCGTTGTCTATCTACCTAATGAATATTAGTAGCTTCACTATGAATTTTTCGCTTAGGTCAGTTTGATGTTATTGTTTCAGCTAATTTGACACTTTCTTTATATTAAAAGTTGTAAATAAAAATTTAAGTGAAAAGTCTTTTTTGTTGAATTGGTATATGAAGTTTGTAGGCGTGTGAAAATAGAAATACCCACTTGTGAAAAGGGGGGGAATTTTGTTGTGCCATTAATATTTCTCGGGGAAGAACGAACGCGAATTTTACTAGTAGATTGTTGGATTTTTTTAGAAAGAAATTGTAAGTGTAATGGGGAATCTTGGATCACCTAGGAGTCCTCATCCTCATCCGGCTAATGTTGATTTTTTGTTTGGGATGAGAGAGTGTCCAGCGAGGTGTTCCGAGGGTCCGGCCAATAATGATCATTTTTCAGGTAGAAGGGTGGTAGGATCAGATTATCATTGGTGCAAGAATTTTCTCTTTGGTGGTATATATGGTAATAATAGTATGGCAGCAAAGCAATCAATTTGTAAAGGAGTATATGGCGGGAAAAGGCATAATTGGTTTCACAGGCAATTAAGGTTGTTTGGTTTTGCTATTGGGCTGATGGGTTTGTTCTTTTGGTTGGATTCCCTTATGTTTGTGGACTTCAATTCTGCGAATTTCCGTAAAAGTTCTGTCTTAGAAATGAACACGTCAAAGGTACCAAACTTCGTTATTTATATCATCAATCGATAGATATATATTTTCATGCTGGATAGTCCTTGAGAAATTAGTAACATATTTATCGGAAATTCGGAATTGAAATTTGGGCCTTAATCTTCCATTCCACAGTTCTGACTTTGTTTATATGCTCCACACTCCTAGTTGGGATTTTTTTTTTTTTTTTTTTATATAGAAATTACAACATTAATTTCTGAGAGGAATAGAACTTATTAGTTAGGAGGCATGGATAAACTTCTTTTCATAAGTTAGCTAGAAAATAGACCAGATTACTAAGTAGAAGCCTACTAATAGGAGGATGGAATATGTACCTTAGAGGTAATCTATGGCGGTTTTATGCTTCTCCCTGTAAATCATCTGCAAGATCCTCCAAGAATATTTTCACGAAACAACTAGTTGTCTTCTATACTACAAAGGTTGAGTGTAGTAACCTTGGTGTGGGTTGGTGTCTAGCTTTTTTTTCCGCAAGTTAGCAAGTATTAGGAAGGATGTACTAGAGTCTAGAGCATGGTTCATCAGTGCCAATGATTCTCTTTTGTTAATGTTTCCACAATGGTACTTTACACAGTGGTTTCCGATTCATTGTATAGGGAAGCTATAAGTATTTTTGAATTAAATAGATATACTGGAGCTGATTTTTCAGCAGTAGGTGATCTTCTCAGCTTGTGGTAAGCTCGATGAACTATTTTGATCTGGGTGTTTTTTTTGCTGTGAATAGAACCCTGACTTGGTCTTTCTTGGTAGCGGTAACTACTCTAGCTACTTTTAATCAAAAGATAGCTTACAATGCTGTTTTGTGCTAATCAGTTGTTACATTTGTTTTGTGCTGTCTTTTGACCCTATAAATTCCCACATTAGGTTATTGACGATTGATCACTTGTAATAGTTGAGCCGATAGCTGCTGACTTTGAGGCATCAATAATTACTATATCAATCAGATGATGGTTTTAGATGTTGATACTTCCTGAACTAATCTGTGTCTGAGGCTCAATGATCTCTGTCGATCTCACTAGTCAAGTTCCTAATTTCTATTAAATATTCCAAAGAGAAATGGACTAGCCTTATAAATTAGATCTTGTCTATGGTGCTTTCCTACTGCGATAGCACCAGATGGCCTTCACTACTATTTACAATCATATACTACAGTGTGTGAACCTTCTTACTTTTGTCTTTGTTTTTCTGGTGGTTCTCTCCAGAAACCAGGGTTTAGGTCTTTAGGATAATCATTTTACTGTTGGAATTAATTATTTTCTTCATTTATTTGGTTTTTTAACTTCATACTTCAATGTATTTGTCCCCTTGGCACTCATGTTGTCAATTACGTAGTAGTTTTTTGCATTAGGTGTATGTGAAAATTTCCTTGTAATGCATAGGGACATACTAGAAGGATGCCAATAATCTTATTGATTTTGCATATGTTCATGGAAGGATGTACGAGGTAATTCTAGCAAGGAAGAAAGTTCTCCTTTGATGTATGGCTGTCTTCTGAACTTGGCTTCAACTAGTATTGCACAGGTCTGATAATGGATTTCCAAGTAATAATTATTAAAATATATTACTCAAAGGCATCTGCAAAGCTCCTGTTCTGATTTCCTTAAAAAAAAAAAAAAAAAAAAAAAGAAGCTCCTGTTCTGATAATGGATTTCCAAGTAATTATGGAATGATAGAAGTGTATGACTGGAAAATTGGCAAAGTAATCATGTAGCTTCACAATGGAAGTTCTAACATATACCTATTGTGCTCAAAGTCAATGCTGAGTTTTGTTGATACTCATCTGAGGCTTACTTTAGTTCTATATATCATTATATGTTTTTATAGACACGGCTTTGTTTGATATACTGGAGTAATTATTTTTTGTGCTTGAATTCCCAATACTTTATCATTAACTAATTACATACTGAATCTATATGGCACTCACATCGTTCAGTTTCATTCCCATTTCTAATATCCCACACACAATGCACCAAAACAAAACACTGTTTTTCTTTTATAAACCCTCATCCGCCAAAAGCTAGTTCTGTTTTCTCAATCCCATTGGCACCAACTGATTCTTTGTGCCAAATTAGCTGAAATAGTTATAAATGAGCACCACAAACTAAGCCAGCTTACATTAATATGAGCATACCAGAGTGAAGAATATGGTTTAATAGCAACAAAAATCCATAGTTGTTTTTTCATTTTCCCCGGTTCCAATGATAATATTTTCATCTGCAAGGAGTTTTATTTACTCATAGCAAAACAGTGGTTATGGTGTATTGAAGTATGAGGTATAGATGCACTGCCATGTTCATGCATATAATTCATAGATGGCACTGATAACTATGTTATTTACGCTAGGGGCATCGAAGATGAGACTTGTTTTGCTAAAATTTGTATTGGGACATGTCTCTTATATATATGTGGGTATGTGTAATATGCTAATTCTTTTAGAAAAAGGGTTTAGTGAACACCATTTCGATTATTAATCACACATTTTGGCCTATAGGCTTACATATAGCCTGATCGATATGATTCTAATGTATAATATGCTAATTCTTTTAGAAAAAGGGTTTAGTGAACACCATTTCGATTATTAATGACACATTTTGGCTTATAGGCTTACATATAGCCTGATCGATATGATTCTAATGTATTCTCATGTTTTCTAATCATCTCCCGCAGCTTGCTGCACTGGACTTCATTGCATGTGCAACAGCTGATGTTTTTGCCATGACCGACTCGGGAAGCCAACTATCTTCATTGGTATCTGGGTTTCGCACTTATTTTGGAGGCGGTCATGCTCCTACCTTGCGACCAAACAAGAAGAGGCTATCAGCAATATTGTTGGAAAATGACACCATAGCATGGAACAGTTTTCAGTATAGGGTAACAAAAATGATTGAAGAAGGTCAAAGGGTTCATGTGAGACGATTTGGACAAAGCATATATCGGCAACCTAGGAGCCCCGAATGCATGTGCAAAGCTCGCTAGACTTTCACCTGATTTTTGCTGTAAATATATCAGCCATTCAACCTGATGAAAAAGCCAAGATAAGCAAAATCTCTCTTTCACACTTTCCTTTTGTTTTCGGGTGGTCAGAGACTCAGAGCCCCAGAAGGGGGCAGTTTTGATTTTTATTTCCCCCCAACATTTTATACTAGATCATTGATGTAAATACACTTAATTTTTTTGGGCAAATGAATATAAAGTTCAAGGTAAGCCTCCTTATTCTCGTCTAGACATAACTTCAAGAGTTACTTCTTGGTGTGAAAATGATACTTCAGTCATTGACTATGTATAGTATGTCACTGCTGTTTGTCTTAAACCACAAGAGATATCAATGCTGTTTGTCATCAGTAGTCAGAAATGTCAGATGATACTGCTGAAGTGTGGACTTTGGTTAAAAAGAACAAATAAATAATTTCTATTATTGAATTGAACCCGAAATACCGAGTTGAGATATTTACTCTATGATAATAACATTTCTCCATCATCATCATTGTTGAACAAATAATTTCTATAATTGAACAAATAAATAATCAATTGCCGGGGAAGGCCGAAAGGGGGCCAAAGAGCAAAACTTGATTTACTCTGATAATAACATTTCTCCATCATCATCATTGTGATGATAATCACAATGCTATCAATGGTACTAAACTACTTCTAAGGGGTTCATGATGGAGAGGAAAACTGGTTTAAGGGTTTTAAAACTACTCTGTCCCCTCTCTTTAAGGCTCAACCACGCTTAAGATGGAGGGAAAAAAACGGTTGAGGTTAAAGGGAAGGGTGTAGAACTCCTCGTTTCGACTGTCTCCTTTGAATGTCCTGAATTTGACCCACCATGGCATTCCTCTGTCTTTAGCACTATCCTTGTATTCAAGGGTGTTGTCTAGGAGAACTGAGATAATCAGCGCCACTGCCGGTGAAGAGGAGAAGATAGTATTGAGGAAATCATTGAACTGCAATAACGACCACCAAAACTAGAGTTATTTTTCACTGGAGAAGAAATTAAGCAAGATGTAGAGGTTTAAGTAGGAGTAATGTTCTTACCCATCCAGCCCTGGTGTGAGAAGGTCCATGTAGAGCGCTGGCCGAGTATTCTCTAAAATAATTAGGAATAGACAGACCAAGAAACATAGATACACCTACAATGAAGAGATTTCTCATAGAGTTCATATTTGTGAACTGCAAGAATGATAGCCCGACAGAACCTGTAAAACCATCAACCAACAACAAACCCAAGCAAATTAGTTTATGAATCTCTGTTGTCTACTTCCCTACACAAATCCAAAATGATTGTGTGACTTACCAACAAGGCCAAAGAAAACACAGTACATTGCAGCAAATATAGTGAAAGGTATTGAAGCAAAAAGAGCCCCAAATTTTCCTGCAGGTATCAATCAGAAAAACTGAGAATCTATTGGCGGACATATGATGTCTTTTATAGGAGACATAAGAAGGTAGTTTAGGCCTTACCTAAGATTGAGAAAAAGATCATGAAGCCAGCAGAAATCTGTATAACTCTACGACTTCCTACATGAGTGCTTCCAATCAGGCCTACATTTTCTCTATATCCGACAAATTTTATATTAATGTTCAGTTATAGCTAGCAAGCTTGCATTAGCTGAAAACCAAGGATATGCATGTAGTAACTCACATAGAGACAGCAGAACCACTTAATGTTCCAAAGAGTCCACTGAGTAAGATCCCAATACCCTGTGAACGATACGATCTATCAGTAAAAACACACACACCCACACGAAAAGAATGAAGAAAAAGGGCATCCTCCAACTCTGTAGGAAGACATAATATATAACCTGCCAGCCTATACCGCGGCTCAGAACATGAGCTGGTGGGGGAGTGGCACTTGCTAGACGAGCTGCTGCTTTAAAAGCTCCAGTTGACTATAACAGAATAAATTACACACGTTATAATCATGTCCAAGTCATAAACAGGAAGGATTATAACTAATGCTTAACTTTGTAGTGACTTTGTATGCTACCTCAATGAGCGAGACTAGTACAGCAGCCATCATTCCAAATGCGTGACCGGGATCAAAAGAAGGTGCACCCCATTGTAAAGGATATGGGATCTTTATCCTACACAAGCAAAAATCAAGGGATAAATGAGAATTTTCCCAAAAGTCTGGGCTATGGCAACAATATTTTCAAAACTGTAGTCCACTTATCATCAGTAACATTACAACAGTAAGGAGTTCCCATCACTGAGATAGATTCTTGTCATTAGCTTACCATGGTGCAGTAGAGATGAGGTTAGCCTTATCAGTTCGGCAGTTCATTTGAGTTTTAGCAGGGCGGTGTTTGTAAGCACCACTAGCGGTCAACAGGTGTGCATATGCCCATATAACAGTAACTGATAGAACAAGAGCAAAGCGCTCCAGCATTGGCAGCTTCCTTACCTGAAAATGCTTCAGATACTGCACAAAGGAAAAGAAATTAGTTCTACCTTCTAATTCCCTCCATTGCTAAAAGTTTTCCCTATTTTGAATCTTTTTGTCGGACAATCACCGTCCAAATAGGAAGAACTTTAAAGACCATGATAATGTCCCAGCTTTCGATCTAAACAAGTTACTCATTGCTAAACAGTCAAGATTTTGCATGCTTTCAAATACTTTCACTGGTTTAACTATTTGTGTATCATATCAAGCTTATCTTGTTGTGTTAGTGGAATCCACTAATATCCAATTAGCCCCAATTATGTCCACTAAAGAGTAAAGACTATACAATAACTATATAAATTCAAACTTTGAACAAAAAGATAGTACTATCCTCCTAATCATATAAAGGTTGCAATAATATTGACAAAATACCTGAGAGAAGACAACAAACAAAATAAGCATGGGAATGCCAATTTCAACGCATCGTCCCACCTGAAAATTATACAACCATATTAAAATTTTAGAAAAATGCGCCTTTTTATTTTAAGTTGAACAAGAAGAGTAAATTGGAATATAAATGAAACATTTAGTTCCAAAGCAGACCAGTAACTAATCTCGAAATGAAGGTTCATTTAAAAATTAAACCATGATTAAAGACTTATTGTACTTACCACAGGAAATCCCCTATCAAGCAGACCAAAACCCACCAGTGATATAACTGGAACCATTCCCAATGGGCTAAAAAACCTGTCATACCATAAATTAATCTTTGTTAATTACAACATTACATTTTAATTTATTTCTTCCATTTCACATTTAAGTTCACATATTATTAATAGGACAATAGCTCTTGTTCACTCTTAGATATCGAGTCGACTTCATAAGTCCAAACTCCAAAGAACCCACAATGGCTCTTGGATACTAAAGTTGTTCACGGTCAGTGTGCACTGTTAAAAAGAGCGAGCTAAGCAGGTAATTGAAAAAGGAAAGAGATAGAGGAAATAATACGAAGTATCTAGGTAGTATTTCGTGTTAGACATTTTCTACAAACATGCTATTGAGATAGGACAAATCTTGGAGATTGAATCGGCCCCTATGTCACATTATTTCAATGCCCGGGGCCTATGGGTGCAAGTGTGCAACCGCGTGAACAGGCTAGATTAGGGCATTAGGCTTACAGTAATCTTGGAGATTGATTTATCACTACTCGACCCCCTATGTCACATTGCTTCAATTGCCGGGGCCTCATGGTCTTATGGGTGCTAACAGTATAGAGTATACTTACTAACAGATAAAAGAAAAAATTAACCTTGAACAAATAGCCCATAATTGGCTATATCCGAGGATTATTTGCAGACTTGACGCCACAATTAGAGCTCCTTGGACTGCCCTCATTGTACTATTAAACCTCTGCAATTCAATATAAACACATAAACATCAAGCATATACTGTATAATTATTTTAGTAACAGTAAAAAAAAATTAGTGGAATTCCAACAATATGTGCACATCATATCATATGGTAAAAGTGTAAATGGGCATCATTTTGTTGCTTTCTAGGCTTGTGATGACCATAGCCTATTGGACTAACCTTTTCAAAAAGTGACATTGAAGATAAGTATCACATAATTTTTAAGGTATAAAAAAAAAAATGGAATCTTATGTGCATATTCATAGACAAGCAAGTATATTGATACACTTACTTTACTTTTCATGAACTTAAAGTTGGTTCCTTTACTTAAAGCCAATTACATAGGTGGGTCTAAATCTACTTTTATCACTTTCTTTTATTTATGTTACAAAGGGCCCTCAACTAGTACTTAAAGATTATGTTACAATATACAATAGTGTAAGAGATAAAAAGATTGGAAGATCTTCAAAAGATGACACAAAAACTAACCATGTGTGGATCTTCAATCCTTGTAAAGGCGGAGTCATGGATGATGGAGATGATAGGCACCATGTAAGCGTACGACGCTCCGATGACCGTCGGTAGCCGGGTTCCAAATAGGGTTTGTAGTAGAGTATTGATTCCTTGAACAAATAGTAATGTTTGCACTACTCTTGCTTTGTCACCCTACATTATAAAGTTTGTAAAGAGATAAAACCATGTCTATATATTAGCACGGTAGCACCCATGCGTTCACACAACAATAATAACCAACATGTACAAATTCCGCTAACAAAAACAAAGCAATTGCTCGTCAATTTGTACTTGTAAAAAATGATTCTCTTATATAATTATTCTTATTAAGGTGTATGCAATTTTTTTTTTAATCACATTTAAAAAATAAAATTGGTCATGTATTTTTTTATAAAAATGTACCCCAATAATTAGGTTCGGTGCAAGAAACAACACGATTTATGTTGTACAAAAACATGTACCTTATTATTAAAATTTTCATGGTAATTACTAATTAGCAAACATTCCTGTCACCCAAGCATTCACAACTTAAAACATAATTCAACTTTGTTAAAGTTATTATTAACTTTAGTATGTGCCACAAACTACATATATATTTAAATTAATCACATTAACTTCATTTAAAAAAAAAATTAATTTTAATTTGTGAATGATTTCAAGAGTTTCTCCTTAAAAAAAAAAAATGATTTCAAGAATTTTTAACAACACCCCATGGTAAATAATTAACAAGGTTTAAATAAATAAAGATAAAACTTACATCAGAACCTCCCATCAAAGGAACAAGGAATGTAGGAATCATAACAGCAGTTCCTAACGATAAGATGTAATGCTGGAAACCCAAAGCAACAGCTTCCCCTGTTCCAAACCAATCATATTAATTTTACTTTTTAATTGTCTAATTAATTAAAACTTCATCTTTAATAAAATTATCGAAATGGGCATTTATTAATTTTTGGTTAATAAAAATAAAATTAAATAAATGAAGTTAGGATTTTTCGAAAAATTACCCCAAGAAGGATTGGAATCAATACAATACTCTAAACCTTGTAGTTGATCCATTGGTGGGTGACTTATCTCCTCAGGTTTTAAAGGCTCCATTTTTCCACCTTTAGTTTTTCCCTAAAAGTTCGATTCGGAAGAAAAATGATGCTCCTCTAATGATAAGAAATACTATCGTTTTGCCTCTAATATGTCAGAAACGGCCCTGAACGCAAAAGTTCGAGCAGAAAGAAATACAAATAGAGATATTTATATGAAATGAAGGAAGGAGAAGAATGAGAGTTACAATGAAAGTCAAAAGAAAATGATACGCTCAATTAGATTAGAAGAAAGAAAAAAAGAGAAAAAAAAAAAAAACTGATTAATAATTAAAGGAAGGAAATATAAAGAGAGTAAACAAAATTTGCAAATAGTAAAGCATTATATACAAGCGCAACGAAGAGCAAGTGCCGCCCACTTTTCCAAATGTGAAAGGTTTCCGTTAGCTTTTGAAAATTCCCAAATTACCCTTTAAGGAACTGCCAAATCTCTTTGTTACCGTTGCTTTTACTGCCTCTTTTTCACATTTAATATCACACTTTTTCTGATGGAAGTAGTACTATACACATGCACTAATATTCTTAGAAACATAATTAAGGAGGGTTAAGTTAATTAATTGTAGAGTTTTGGTTTTTGCAAGAATCCTAATTTTACTCCTCAAAGAAGGTGACATGGCAAAACTAGGGAAGGAAAAAGATGTTTTTTCCTTGATTTGTGACCCAATGTTGTGTGTTTTTGTCTAGTCATTATTTTTAGTTGTTTTAAAATTTTGACATGGTAGTCAAGTACAAATAGTTTTTAATCTTAGTCTTTATATTCTTTGGTAGTGGGGTATGTTTACTAGGTATGTCTCTATATTAATTACTAGGGAGTTAGGGATTACTATTATTAATACTCCCTCCCGTCTCATAATACAATGTCTCTTTGGTTTTTTACATGAGAATTAAAAAAAGTTGTAAATTCCTTAAAACTAATGATTAGATTTACATATGAGCATGTGGGGTTAGAGAGAGATAGAGAGAAAGAAAAAGTAATTGGAAATAGTTGAAGAGATAGAGAGAGAAGGTGTTGGAAATTGATATTAAAAGTACAAAAAAGAAAAAGAAAAAAGATGGCAACTCATAAAAAATAGGGTAATAATGTCAAAAAGTACAACCTTTAAATAGAAAGAGACATTGTATTTTGGTTTACCCAAAAAAGAAAAGAGGCGTTATATTATGAGACGGAGGGAGTAATAGATTCATACTTCCTCCGTTTTTTTATAGTTGCAACACACACTTTATCACGGTATTTAAGAAAAATAGATTTCACATGATATAATACAGTTAAAATGGGGTTAAGAGGTTGTTAGGTGTATAATCAAGTGGGTCATGAGTTTTAAATAAAGATAATAGTACCCTTTTTCACCATAAAAAGATTAAAAACCTTCCTTTTATAGTATGTTAAAATTAATGTGTCATTTTTATTCTAGGAAAGTGTTGCAACTATAAAAAATGGATGAAGTATCTTTCTCTGTCCGTTTTTAGTTGACATGTTTACTTATTTACATTTGTCAATACACAAATTTAATTATTATTATGTTTAATTATTGTGACATAAAATTTATAAGAGTTAATATTTTAAAATTATACTACCTTAGTCCTTAGCCCCTTTTTGTTCGACTCACCAGCATCTTTTACTATCTCTAATGCACGAAATACACAAAGTATCTTTAGTTAGGTACGAATGAAAATTATGAAAATTCAATATTTGGATACTATTCATTGAAACAATTTTCTCCCAGTTGCCTTCTTAGTGTCGTTGTAATAGCTTTGAAGCGTTAATTGAGATGTGTCCTGCCTCTTTGAATGAGATCAAAGAGGGCAAAAGTTTTCGTCCTCTTTGAATGAATCAAGCATTAGCTTTGAAGTGTTGATTGAGATTTGTTCTGTCTCTTTGAATGAGATCAAAGAGGGCAAAAGTTTTCGCCCTCTTTGAATGAATCAAGCAGGGCAATTACTTTTTTTTTTCACCCTATAAAACAACTCAAATAGGGCAATTATTTTGCCCTCCTTATTCAAAATCAAAGAAGGAAACAAGCTTAAGTCGCTTTCTTTGTCTATCATCAAGCAGTGTTCATTGTGGAATTGACAATTGCTAACAATGATAATTAGGGATCGGTATAGAAATGTAAACTAGTCTGCCAATTAGTTAGCAATTTACTAAGTTTAATAAACTATACTGAAAACTCACTTACGACCATAGTCATTATGGACAAAAGGTAAGCATAAAATCATAGCAATGCCAAAATCATAATATCTTAATTTCAAACCAAGTTCAACTTCAGAAGTACATTCATAAAACAAGTTTAATCAAAGTTGTCAAAATTACATTCATCAAAGATAATGCAACTTTATTAGAAAAGTTAAAGGTTAATATTAAAGCCATTACAAAACATAGTATCTTAAGCTCAAATTTTAAATAAAAAAATACTCGATCCTGAGATTTTGGTTATAGTATAAAATGGTTTTAGGCTGGGCTAGGCAGTGAGCCTAACCTATGGGCTTTAGGGTTGCATAGATCCATCCCAAGCACAACCCTAAGCCCACGGGCTTCTTTAAAAAAGATAAAACATTACTAATATCGTGTTATATACTACAGAGTATGCTAATTTATCAAACCAAAAAAAACATTCAAATTAGCTTATACCAATAATTTTATAAGTACAAAACAGTATACAAACTAAAATAAAAACTGATATAGCCTTAGAAAAATATGATCAGAGAGAAAAATGGGTACAATGGTGACCAAAGGAGAAAACAGAGGGTGTAACTGCAACAGGCATCATGTAGACAAACGAGGCCTCCCTCAATCAGAGTTTATAACTGAAAGTCCGAAATAAATATCATGTAAGCATAACAGAGACCTCAATATAGGTTGACTGAGATAAACATCAATCCAAGTATCCAACTACAAAACTACACAAAATGTAAGATAACTAGAATCAGAAGAATTTTGTTATTAATTGAGAAATTATTCCGTTTTAGACTTTTAGTTCTCTATTGGCAGGGATCTGTAAGCAAAAATTAGAACCACAACTCTCAGCTACAATAGATTGTTACAGAAGCTTTTAAATACAGCTAACCAGAGAGATACCCAAATAAACAACGAGCCTGTAGGTTGAGACAATAAGAATCCCTTGCAATAATATTCACGTCAACTATCAAGAGCACCAAGGGCTTTCATGTCCTCCAAGAAAGCCATATATGAATCGTCAATGCTTGGTGCTTTTGGTGCTGATGCGGTTGTTACTGATTCTGGTTTTGGAGCAGAAGTCATGGGCTGCTGAGAGATAGGTGCGTTTGTCATCGCTTTTGGTTTTGGCTTTGGAAGAGCAGACTCTCTTCTAACACGTACAGATGCAGGAACCTGTGGCCACATCATAAAAATGAATATTGCCTACATATGATCCACAACAGTGATGTTTTACTTTTGACTTTTAAAAAGTAAATTACCCAACTAATCACGCTATAGTATGATAATCAACAACAGTGACACAAAACCAATCGTATCAAACAACACATAAGCTTTTAATTTCCTATCTGTATAAAAAGTTACATTATTTCTTCAATATGATACGAACTAAACTAGCTTTTCTGAGAATATTCTAACTCAGGTATCATCAAATTCATATACTGCAATTGCAAATCTAATCTGTCTAACAAAAGCTTAAGCTAAGCACTTCAACAGCAGTATTATTGTAAAATCCAATGTATCAGATAAGACATCAGCCATCATGTTGAAGGCAAATAGTTAGAAACTACTAACTTGGTACACACACCTGAGCCACCAATTTGGGTCTAATTCAAAGGAGGAAACAACTTGACACACAAGACAAAGGTGGAAGATACAAGCAGCAGCAGCAGCAGCAAGGGGAAAAGGAAGACAACATGACAGATGTGCACAAAACTAATCAATGAAACACTAAGGGAGGGAGCAACAAGAATTCTGCAAACATGATACTCTGAATTAGTGACAAACACAATTAATATTAGGTTAACTTGTAGCAGTCCTTCATTATAACTAGGAAGTGACATGGCAGTAGAATGCATGTGATTCGTGATGTTTTGTAAGTGAGACAAGTAGCCTCAAGTTACTAAGTGGAGAGTAATAGACTCAAGCTGTGTTTTGTAGTTAAAGTTTCGGCCATTGTTATCTAATATTAAGCTACCATCTTCATTAATCTGTCTTGTTAGCTCGTTTAAACAAACTCAGAAATTTATTCTATTACAGCAACTAGTAATTATCTTTTCCTAAGATTATCAACGGCCAGATATCACATAATCTATATACTACAATCGCAGATCTAATCAGCCAAAAAGCTTTTTGCTCAACACATCATAATTTCCACCCAAACCTCAAAATAAAATAAAAGAATCCATATCCAACCAAAATAATGCTAAGCAAAACAGAAAACATTCCAAAAGTGCAATTCATCAAGTGAATGCAAGGTTTATAGGAATAACAGCTTCAACTTCAAGCCAGAGTAAACATACCATAGCTGTGAGCTCTGGTGTGTGCTGAGCTAGAGGCCTCTTTACAACTGTAGGTGCAGCTGATTTAACATAAGATGGTTTCTGTGGAACAGTTGGCCTCATTGCAGTTGAATCATCCTGTAGCATCATAGGTGGTGGACCTGGAGGAAGTGGAGGTCTCATCATAGGAGGTGGTCCAGGGGGGGGACCAAAAGGTGGCCTAGGCATAAGTGGTGCAATTCCAGGGGGTACAGGTTGCCCTGGAAATCCAGATGCAGATAATGGTGGCCTTGTGTCCGGTGGAGGGGGTGGAGGGAATCTTGAAGTGCCTGGGGGTAGCACATCAGGCTGTAATGCAGGGAGTGCAGCTGGTCCTGGGCCTCCAGGCATACCTGATAGTGAAGGCTGCCGTGATGGAGGTGGTGGGACCATATTTGGAAGATCATTGCCCACTTCCTGATTTACGGCATCAGATTCAACACCAGATTGATTCCCTGCAAATTTTGGTGGTAATCCAGGTGGTGGAGGTGGTGGAGGGAGAAGAATATTAGACCCCTGCAAAAAATTACCATTCAATATCAATAACTTCTCATTGTTGAAACCTCCTTGTGAATCAAGTACTAAACCAAGCAAGCATTTCTAAAGTACAAGTCAATATAGTTTCAATCAAAAGAAATACGTAAAAAATAAACAAGGCAGCAATATAAGGTTCAAGTACATCCTTCAGTCAATTTGGTAATTCAATTCTGAACTAATAAAACAAGGGTATCACGATGTCAGCCTGCCAATACCCATCTCCAACCAAAAAGGAGGGAGGGAAGCATAATTGCAGGTTCAAGTACATCTTGATCCTTCAGTCAATTTGATAATTCAATTCTGAGATAATAACACAAGGTTATCACAATGTCAGCCCACAAATACCCACCTACAACCAAAACGTTGGGAGAATTGGATAATTGCAGGGGTAGTGAGATCACGATTGAGAATTACCTGCGAATCTTTTGAAGTAGTGCCATCCCTCTCACTTCCAGAAATACCAGGTGGTGGTGGTGGTGGTTGCTGAGTGGATGGAGGGGGTGGAGGACGAACTCCAATAAGCTCTCTAGGAGGAGGGCCAGGAGGTGGTGGAGGAGGTGGAGGTAGAGGCAATGCTGATGCCAAGTTTGGATCCGAAGACTTCGGAGGCATTGGTGGTGGAGGTGGTGGAGGCAGAGATGAAGGTATTTCAGTGTCATGACTAGAATCAGGATCACCCATTATCGGCAAAGGAGGTGGTGGAGGTGATGCAGGCAATTCAAAATCATCAAGACCTACAGAAGATGCAGCACCATTTGACGAGGAAGCTTCTGACAATGGAATCCGAGGCCCTGCCATTATATAATGTAAGAATAAAAGGGGGCAGTCACAAGGAGTAGACTATGAACAGAGCAACAACAATAACAATATCAATAATAAAAATGGTGCTATTAGAAGAAGAACAAACCTATAGAAGACTTGTACATAGGAGGCTTTCCAGGGGGTGGAGCTCCTGTGGGATTCAACGTTGGATGATAGTATACAGAATCCTATAGGTCCACACAAACAAACGACATATAAAACATGAATAAATAAGCGGGAACGGGCAAAAGTAATTTAAAATTAGAAAGTCACGAAATATGTTTCCTCTGTCCACTACTGATGCCCAATTTTCTTAATTCCACTCCCAGTGTCCATTTAAATTTCACGCTACAGAGATAATAAATAATGCATCCTCTTTAACCAAGACTTAAAGACAATATATTCAATATGATCTCTTACGCAAGACTATCAGAGCTAAACAGAGGGTATAACAAAAAGAAAGTAGGATCAAGCATAACTTACTTCAGGTTGTGGATGCTTTGCTCTCTCCTCCTCTTCAGCTGAGGTCCGTCTCTGTACAGGTCCCAAATGACTGCAGCAGATTCACCTTGTATCAGAGAAAAAAATTTAATACATAACTGTTACAAGAAAACAAAATGAAAGGTGAAGTACCTGAACATAACTGGATCCTCACCCTTTTCCTTCATTTTTTCTTCATACTCCTGCAAAACAAACGCATAAATCATCATATCATCTCACACTATTCCAAGGTTGTAAGAAAATGAAAAGAAAAAAAAGAATAAAAAATCCAGCACCATTATGATTTCATGCATTTATTAATCAGGGAAAAATAAGGTGCATTTACGCAGCAAATTGAGATGTCCAACCAAATATAAACATATACTTCCTCTGTTCCAATAATATTGCAACAAGGATGAAATTACGCATCCCAAAGCACATTTTATATGTAAAATATCTATAACTGTATAAGAGTAAAAATTATAAAAAGTTGATATTGTGAAAGTATTTTATGAGATGAATCTAACAAGATCCCACATGACTATATTTTGCTTAACGTATAAATCATATTATATGGTCAAACAAGAGTGATGAATAGTACAAAAAGTCCATTGTTGCAATATTATTAGAAGGGAGGAAGCACATATTTAACGGGTTGTTTGGTACAGGACTTTCAGGAAAGGGATAAAGATGTCATATCAAAGCCCCTGTTTCCCTTTGACAACATTTACCGTGTGTTTGGATAAAGAAAGGGGAAGGAAACAAAGCGAAGGGAAGAATGATGAGTTTTACTTCCAAATCTCTCCATTGTCGGAGAGATCAATTTCTTACAATTTAATCCCTCTATTTCTCTCCCCTCCAACTCCATTCCTCATTTGTTATCCAAATGAATGACAGTCCATCCCTCCATTTCTTTCCCCTTCAATTCCCTTCCTCAAAACCCCTACTTGAGTAGGTATAACCAAAAGGGTACCTAAATAAAGTTGTAAAGCTAATCATAAGGAGTCTAGATTCACAGCATGAAGTATGAAGGTGAAGCATTTGGTCTATGGGTTTTGGTTTATAATTATATATTCCTCCATACCAACATAATAAAAATAAAAATAAGGAAATAAATCATTACATTTTACATAAGAGAGGAGGAGAGAACTGTTTAGTGTTTTTAAAAAGAATAGTAATGGATCATGGAGAAAGGGTCACAGAATTTGTACAGTGAAGAGAGGAGCAAATGAAAAAGGGGGAGGAAAAAAAAAAAGGAAAATAAGAAGAGAGATGATGGCGCCAAACAAGGGAAAAAAGAGGGGGGGGGGAATGCCTCATTTATGGTTTTGTGATCAACAAATAAAATGCTTTAAAAAGTACTCCCTCCGTCACTTTTTATTCTTTACACTTTAACAAAGAAAGATTCCAAATGAAACGATTATAAGGTGACAGAGGGAGGTGTTAATTACAACATTTTTTATACTACCTCTGCTTTCCTAAGTTCTACTCACTTTCTAGGTCAAAGTTTTAAATTTTGACCATGTCTAATTTTGTATATATAAGAAAAAACATTATTAAGTTTGATCTTATTAGATTCATATTGTTAAAAAATTTCAATACATCTACTTTGTATAATTTTTACTAATACATAATCTAAAAAATTAATGGTCAAAGTAGTGCATTGGAGACCCCGTAAAATGAAAGCGAGTAACACTTACCAAAACGAAGGGAGTATAAAGTAATCTCTCACAAAATCTAATTTTATAAGGTACTTTTTGACAAATTTTGTTTTCTTGTTTTGTTTGTATAAAATACTCGTGTAAATTACCCTTATTCAATTATTTTGACATCCCCTTTTTTTTCCATTCATTGCCTTTGCCATGTAGGAACTAAGGTCTCCCCGTGAGGGTTGGATATCAAATCAAAGGCCGCAATAATATAAAGCCCTGTGACTTTAATCGGTATTGCCCCAATGTGAATTCATGACAATATAATGGGTTAGGTTCTCCATTTCTAGCAAAAGAGCGTGGCCTCAGAGATTTAAACATGGGTGTACACAATTTAGTTTAGATCAAAACTACAAGTTCAAATAATGGTTCAGATCCCATTTGGACTTCAATTTTTAAAATGGGACAATTTTGGCTTGGATTTAAAAGGCCAAGGTCAATGCACACCCTTATTAGAGGTGCATATGATATAACCAAAAAAAAAAAAATGGTCGTTAAATTTTTGTTAAGATTTTATTACTTAACTCCTGTTGTTTTTTCTCCTTCCCTTATATAACATTTGTAGGGTAGAGCCTAACTTTATAACTTGCATTTCAAACACTACATGCAAATTACCCTTAGTCAATTAAGGTACTTTTTACAAATTTTGTTTTCTTGTTTTGTCAGTATAAAATACTCGTGCAAATTACCCTTAGTCAATTATTTGATATCCCCTTTTTTTTCGGTTCATTGCCTTTGCCATGTAGGAACTAAGGTCTCCCCATGAGGGTTGGATATCAAATCAAAGGCCGCAATAATATAAAGCCCTGTGACTTCAATCGGTATGCCCCAATGTGAATTCATGACAATATAATGGGTTGGGTTCTCCATTTCTAGCAAAAGAGCTTGGCCTCATAGATTTAAACATGGGGTTGGATATCAAATCAAAGGCCGCAATAATAGAAAGCCCTGTGACTTCATACCAATGTGAATTCATGACAATATAATGGGTTGGGTTCTCCATTTCTAGCAAAGGAGCTTGGCCTCATAGATTTAAACATGGGTGTATACAATTAGTTTTGATCAAAACTACTCAAACTCCTTTTGTTTATTCTCCTTCCCTTATATAACATTTATAGGGTAGAGCCTAACTTTATAATTCGCATTTCAAACACTACATGTAAATGGAATATTGACAATTCAAAATCCCAAAATGTTTCAGCACTCCGGTTGCCTGTTTTGCAACATCTCAAATCCGTTTCTGAACATTTCTATGTTTCATACTTCCTCTATTCCAAATTCATATCCATTTCTTTTTGGCATGCATATTAGGAAGTAAGATAGGAAGATCAAAATACAAAAGGCCCATAACCACCTACCCTTATTCCGGTCCTTCTCCTACCTTAACCTGCAAACCAGCCACCCCACCCTCACCTTTATCTAGTCCACTGCCAACTTCCTCCACCACTCATCCACCACCACCACCACCACCAATTTTGTCACCACCTTCTTCCTCAACTGACTTAACCTTCCTCCAATAAAGTACTACTCTAAAAATCCTCTCACTTTCCCTTTCATCTATCTTACACCAACACCATCTCACACCAGTATACCACCAAGGCATTGGTCGGAGGGGGGGGGGGGGACAAAGTGTAATAACCATGAGGATAAGGTGCTTAGGTGCTACTAATGGTCACATCAAGATGGGTTGACAATGCGAGAACAGGAGAGCAATTGTTTGAGGCAGCAAGAATGGAAGGAAAGACAAAGTAGTAGAGGAGAGGAGAGAAGCAACTGTTTGGCGATAGCAAAGGAGAGACAACGTCTGGAAAGGAGAGGAGTGAAGAGGTGACGAGTGGAGGAGAGAAGTCGGCGACAGAAAAGAAAGAAGAGAGAATGTCAGTGGCAGCAGAGGAGAGAGGAAATTGAAGGTTGACTATGAGGGAGGAGACAGAAAATGGGATGGTTTCCGTGGTAGTGGTTGTGAGAAAGCAGAGAGAGAGGGGACTAAGGAGAAAAGTGAAGATAAGTGGGTCTATTATAGGGAAGGGAGGATAGAGAAGAAAAATGAGGGTAAAATCGACATATTACTACACACCAACATGGAAATTGTGATTGATAGTACAACACCAATTCTTCAGTTGCCTGCTCACTAATCATTGATGATTCTAGGCCCCTTAATGAATGCTCAATGATAAAGGAGGTATGCGTATTTGAAAAAATTAAAATTCTTTCTTAGGCCAAGGGCGGCTTCGGCGACCAGGGGTCACGGGCCAGCAATGGCTTGGTTAAAGTAGAGTAGTAGCAGAAGCGAGTCTTTAAAGGGCACCCTTTACTTTTTTTTTTTTTCCCTATGTCAAAGTTTCAAAATGAAACAAGTCGACCAATAAGAAACTTCCCCAAAAGAAATACATGTCACCTAATTTGGGATGGAAGAGGTATTTCGCAAGTAGCTCAACATTTTGGTGCTTCACATCTCTTTGGTATGAAATCCTTTATTATAAAAAGCAGCAAGAGAAATTGCAGGGAGGGACAAACAATTAAGAATGACAAGACAGTGTGCCTAAGTGTAGCTCACGTGTCACATGCAACAAAGCTGGTAAATAGGCAAAGAGTGCCCACATAGATCCTTATATTAACATTTCATGTCTTGGGTTCAAATCCCACATATTACATCAGCTTCTTTTACTCATTCTACATTATTTCAGTATAAATGTTGCTTCACGGCCACCTTTTTTCATGTATGAAACATTTGCTAGGGTGTAAAAAATGAAAAAATCAAAGCAAGTTTGATCCCTCTAATTCATTTTCTTTTATTATAGCTATTACTTGTGTTACCGTTGCACAAAGTTATAGGTGACAAGTGGTTGTTTATCAATTGTTATTTTATTGAAAAAGCAGATGTGATAGACATTAGCAGGGTATTTTTAAAATTATATGAAAGAGTGTGGGGACCAAAGTGTAACAAGATTCTAAGGGAGTATCATTTACCCTTTCCTTTTTCATCTAACTAAAAATACGTGCTCACAACAAGGTTCAAAGTGTCTTAAAACTGAAAATAAAACTATAGGTATATCAAGATACCTAATGTTTACCTTGGGACATACAGGCACCAAACGCAAATAACATGGATAGTAAAAAGGACAAACATATACATACATACCTTTCTCTTCTTCATAACAAGGTTCAAAGTATCCTCAAGCTGCCTTTTCTTGTGTTTTCTTGCTTTGTCAAGTGCACCTTCAGCCTCTGCATTATGGGGGAAGGGGGAAGAATGAACAATTTAGTCAGATAAAAGATTGCAGAAAGCCAAAAATATCTACAACAATGAAGTTCTCAATACCAGATGGCAAGTGCACGACATTAAGAAATGAAAATTCTGTAGGTGTTCCTGTGACAGCAACCTACCAGCCAGATATATACTATAAAGTAAGAATGCGATACAATAGGAGACCTAAATATTAAGAAACTTTTAATTCTCCTAGCCTTATCACCATGATCATGATGAAGTCCCATACCAACCATCAAATGCCTAAAACCTACTATTACTCTCTTTGACAAAAGTCACACAACACTCTTCTCGAGGGAAAGCATCCTAAAACAACTAGAGACAGCAAAGAAGGGACAACTTGCAAGCAAAATCAGAACATTAAGTGTAAAGATGATAGTGATAGCTTTGACTTAGTTAGTAGTTCTAGAAATTTCAATACTTCTGATTATCTACATGCTCACAGACCTTATAATGATCTTTCACCTCATGTGTTCTTTTTATGTCTTAATAGTAAGAAGATAGGAAATCATCTGTTCTTACATTGTTTTGTGGCATTGTTACTTTGACAGAGGTTACTTACTATTGTTGGGGTTCATTGGATAGCTCTTGCTACTCTTCAAGACAATTTACAGATTTTTTATATAAAGTTTGGTAATTGTAAGGAGCATAAATACTGTGGTAGGATAATTTTCAGTTATTTGAAGATGATTTAATTGGAGCAAACTGACAAAATTACCTCTGGTCAGGTGTCTTCATTGAATACTTTGTGGAGCAAGTGGTGTACTAAGCTTCTATTTAAGCTCATGCTTACAGAGCTTTCACAAAAACACCCTGTTTTGATGTTTTAGGTATATATTGGGTTTCTATTTTGTTGTGCTATTGAATGAAATCTGTTTTTCACATCCAAATAGAAAAGTATTTATGTGAACAATCTTTTACGAAGTTTCCTTCACATAAGAAAGAAACAAACACAAATATAACATGATATAAGCTTTCAAACAAATACAATATTAAAGCATAGAGGAATTGTATGGTGCGGACAGCATGAGAACCATCAAATTTTGTTCAATATCTGGTGAAGCAAATAATTTCAGTAATGTCAGCTTACTCATCATCTCTAACTTCTGAATCTGATCTTTGATCTGATCAGGATCCTTCTTCAAAAGACCAACCTCCCGAACCTTTTTTCTCTCTTTCTTGTTCTGTCCAAGCCAATAATCATATAGATATAAGATACAGCCATAAGAAGGATAATCTAAACAAATGCATTCAATCAAGATTGTAGTACAATGACAACATATCATATAAATCATGACAGCTTAAGCAGTAAACCATCTTGAAAACAATAAAAATATATCTAAAACAAATAAAAGATCAAGACAATATTTTCATCATAATACACCTTGAAACCAGTGATCCATCTTGAAAACATATCTAAAATAAAAGAAGTAAACCAACCGAAACAAATGTCCATCCAAACACATGACAACCACAACACCGGTGTCCACATCTCCTGTGACTATATCATTTACAAGCTGTCCAACTCTACCTTGACAATTTCAATTTTCAGGTACCTGAAAGTCATTACAGCAACGGCAACCAAACTTGCGAATCTTGCAATTGATAGCATTAGGCACCCCTTACAAATATACAGACAGAAAGATTATCTGTTTTCACTAAAAGACTTTCTGGATATACCTACTAACACTAAATAGCTTCATATCCGCCAGCAAAATTTGTCTTTTCCTGATCCATAATTTGTTAGCTCCATCATGCTTAGTACTTAAAGGTAAGTACAGCAGTAATAATTCTAAGGTACTATAGACTCTTCTGGGTGGCTCAAATGGAGGGCAGCAATTAAATTGTGCAATCATAGAGTGCCCATAAGGTTGAAAAGAAAATTATATAGGATAACAATTAAACCGGCATGACTATACGTGTCATGTTGGCAAGTACGAGGGAGCATATTAAGCAGATAAGTGTAGCAAAGATGTGTATGTTAAGATGGTGTGTGGGAAGGTTAATAACACTTTGAGGTATGAAATTAGGAATGTAGATATTCCGGAGAAAGCTGGAGTTAAGAATATTGAGGACAAAATAAGGGAGAGCCAGCTACTTTGGTTTGGGCAAATGAGACATCAAAAAAGGATGGAGCAATAATGAAGGTGGAAGGAAGGGATATATATATATATATATATATATATATATATATTTTTTTTTTTTTATATATATTATATATATATATATATATTATATATATATATATATATATATATAAGGAGAAGAAAAAAAAAAGGGAGCGAAAAATGATTTGGGTAAAGGAATTAATGAAGAGAGTGGGCTTGCAATAGCAAGTATAACTAGATAAAGGCTAATGGAGAAAAAGAGGGTCTTTACGGATGACCACAAGAGATAAATTTTAAATAAGGTTTTGATTTTGTTATCGAATGGACTATCCTCCTAAAATTCTTTGTTAAAGATCTTTCAAAGATTCTACATAGAAAATTTCTTCACTTTAATAAAGCTTCATAGTTCAAACATTAGTTATTTTCTTAAGAATGTAATGGCTCTTTATTGCATCTATATAAACCCTGGTGTGTCAAAGTTAAGTTTCTTACAAATTCATAAGACCAAATGACGGCAAAGTATCTACTCAATCAAGTGTTCAAAATTGCACCCTTTGCTCTTAATAAGGAGATATAACTTATCAAAATATTACAATCCAAAAAGGATACTAATGGTTCCTTGCAGTGTGCTATACTAATTTAATACATCTGGACCTATTAACATAAATAGATTTCTTGAAATTTTTTCATCCATGATATCAAGTTGTTTCCTAGCTAACATTTCCATTCGGCATAAATAGCAAACAGACAAAATTCACCTATAAAAAGCCCCTCCATTCTCCACTGGTTACATAAGACACTCAAAAAGGCATCTACTTTTCTCCCTCCTCTACAAAAGATCAAAAAAAAAAAAAAAAAACATTGCCAAATTATTATAGTCAAAAGTGAATGTATTTGCTCTACCTTAAACACTTCATTACAACTGCCATTTAAGTCAAAGAAGTCATCATTTGAACTCCAAATCTTATTAAGGCATTAACCACAAAAACTAAATCAAAACTCACACAGTGTACGACTGAAAAAGGTAATGGTTATGACTCTCTTTTACGGGGAGTGTAATTCCAAGAAAAATGATTCCAACACAGCAAACACCAAGTATGATAAATAAAGAAACAAACAAGACAACCATTTCAACAAGTTCATAAATCAATATTCAATAAATCAATATTACTGAACTTAAACTTTCTATTGCGTGATCAGCTTATCCAATTCCCACCAATTCATAAATCAATATTCAATAATGTTAGAATATATGGCAATATATTTGGTTTGACTTTGTATATAACTATTTTAGTAAATGTATATCTTCTAGCCTAATTTCTAGCCTAGTTAACAGCTTAGATTATCTCTTGTATATTGGATATTTATACCACAAAGATAATGAAAGGAAAGCAACGATCATATTACTTTCAAATAACCTCCTCCTCCTCAGAGGCATGAAATGTAAGAAATTCAACTCCCCGAAATTCAATAATATCACAGTAACATAGATTCTCTTAAAATACAACACCAGTTCACACAACCATTTCAACAAGTTCTTAAAATCTGGCACGAACAATGTAACACAAATTTCTCCATTTTGTTCAAATATCAACTAAAAATTATAATTAGATGTATATAAACAGTAAGCATTAAAAAAAAACCTAAAACAATACAAAAATTGCAAATAAATAAAATAAATCGAAACATTCAAAATGAAAACCCTAAAATTCAAAACAAAAAGATAATACAAAGAAATTGAAAAGAAAGGGGGGAAAAACACTAACCCTTTTTAATTCCTTTTTACGGAGCTCCTTCCGATAAGCATCAGTAGGGTTCATGACTTTGCCTCCTTTCGTTGTCTTCACCATTTTTGCTGGTTTTCGAAAAACTTCCCCTCTTTTTTTTTGGGTGTTGATGATTTATCTTTGAACTGGATTTGAGAAGTTCCTAAATTATGAAGAAATGGAAACTATAAATTGATTGAGAACTGTGATTATGGCGATTTTTAATCTTCCTCTCTCCTCCCTCGGCGATGAGTGTCTTTCCGATGCTTGGCAGCTTAGAATTAGTCTTCTAGCCCGTATTTTTATTTTATACGAGTAATTTGTTTTTAATTTATTCGTTGTAGAAGAAGGGGTGGAAATTAAATAAACGAGATATTAAGTTGGAGGAGAATGAACTAAACAACATTAATATGTATTGACTTGTGGATATTTTTATTTTTATTTTTTATTTTATGTTAGAAAGGGGATTAAAAGGATATGTTTTTTATTTTTAATTTTTATTATATGTTAGAAAGGGGATTTAAAGGATAGGTTAAATAAGGTGACATGTGGCATTATTCAAAAAAAAAAAAAAAAAGTTGACACATGGCAATGATTGCATGATGGTTTGTGTTTTTAAATACTAGGTATAGATTATTTTGTGGGAGTTTCCCGCCTTTTCGCCAATAAGCTCGTTCTTTTTTTGGTGCACGAACTATCTTAGGCTCTGTTTGGTGGTAGCATTTGAGGTACCGGTTAGCGTACTGCTAAAAAAAATTTAGAGTGTTTGGCAAGGTAGCGATTCTAGTAGCGGTTAGCGATAGAGGTTCATTGTCTTTGTCAGATCTTGGATGTTGTTGTTTACTAGGTTTTTGGTATACCTATGCACATGCTAAGCACATATCTGATACTATGCTCACTTAATTGAAGACATGTTCAGAACCTTAGCGTAAAAGCAGATTGTATATGTGCCATGTTCAATGTGAAATTATCTTCAAGGGAGGGATAAAATGACAACCTTATGGAATGGCTTCAATAATGAGAGGAATAGCTCATTGTTGCTGCTTGTTGGCTCAAATATTTTATTCAATTTAGGAATTTCCAGCAACTATTGGTGACCATAATAGCTCCCATAATATCATGGAGAGGCATAAAGGACATGAGCCATGTTCCCTGGACAAGCCTCCCTAAAATCTATATTGGTGATGTTTGCAACATTTTTATTCTTTCATGGATTGGATACAAATTATTATGTTGTTTGGAAGTCTTTTAATGAATTATATATGTTTATTATCAGCTTATATTTATTGTACTAAAAGTTTTATTTATAGCATGACCTTTTGTCCAGAGTGTTGAGCCTAAGCTAGTTTATTTGGTTTGCTGAGTATTTTGCATGTCATGTGGAGTGTAGTAGTCTTAAGAAAGTGCTTGTGTTGACGTCACTGTTGTTAAAACTGTTTTTATTCTTCTTTTTCTTATAGTATAGGAGGTTGAGGGAAGATGTAAAAATTATTGTATTATTTACCAATGGAAATATAGTTGGGTAATGACCTAATTTTTAAAGGATGATTAAGATAAATAATTAAGAAAGTGAAAGCTAATATTAGGATTTCTGCTAGAGTATCATCTAAGTTAACTTCTTTGATGTAATTTGTTATTGTTGCTTATACTTGAGGGTGCGAGACATATTTAGTTTAAGTTCAACTCCTATGTTTGTGTAGATATTGATCGCACCTTAAAGAACCTTAAAACATAAAGTTGTTATTCTTTGAATTCCAAATATATTATTGATGGTGGAGGTTACATCAAATAAATGTATTATTTAGCTATCTCAAAAATCTTTGCTCAATCTACTTAAGATGCATGGAGGGGTGGAATTCCACAAATCCACTCAAAAGCTAATGCAGCTAGGATGGTTATGATGGTCATAAGACTACTCTCAAGCACAACTAACTTCTTGACCATGAATAAATTCTGAAGGTCTTCAGCAACAAGTTTTATTTTCAACAAAATCACAAGATATTGCACTCACTTGGACAAGTTTATAATCACCCATCGCACTTACTACTTTTTTTTACAAATGGTGGAGAGAATAATAAAACTCTTTAGGAAAATTCTCTTTAAGAACACCGTATTTTTTAATTTTCTCAGTGGTAAATTGTAAACAAGCTTACTATCCTTGATCAACGCAGCTTTAGTTTCAGTAGGCCTTTTTTTTCATCTAAGCCCAATTAAAATATAACAGCTAAACGCAGCAGCGGCCAAACCCATCGGGTGCTGTGTCGTCCGATCAGGCCTGGTCGACTGGGAAACGTGTTGGGCTCCTTCGATCCTTAGATTTGTAACTTGTACTTTTATATAAATTGGCCAATTTCCTTCTTCTTGATATCCAAGTATTGGACTATTAAAATTAGCACTCCAAACAAACCGAGCCCCTATTCACCGAATCAAATTTAATTAGCTTAATCTTGGGCTTCAAATATACGGTCAGATCCGACTCCAATATCTTCGTAGTGGTCTAATAAGACCGGAAATTGTCATAACTCTGCAAATTCCTACAAAATAATACCAAGTGTACGAAAACACTATAAAATGTATATTAGTAATAAAAATAGCTCTGTAGAGCTCAAATAAGCACAAATATGACCATGGGAAGGAGAATAAAATAATATATAAAATAGACTCATCACAATTATAAACCTAACCTAGTTAAATTTTATAATAACTAAAATAAAAAGAACCACCCACTCCCCTACCACAGCCCAGCCACCCTTGCCCTTACTCCTCCTCTGATGACTCCCGACCACCATTCCCTATCGGCACCCAAACTTTCCCCCGCTGGCACAAATCTAATTGTCGACACCAAAATTGAGTAAAAATTTGAAACATCGCAACTTCTAAGCATCAAATGATTCTCCGAAGTCGTGTTAATCAAGTAAAAACAGCAATGTTGATACTAAAATTCATAGAAAATTGCATTAGAAGTTTAATAACAATGCATTTATCAAGCATAAATTGCAACACCGACACAAGAATTAGTCAAAATAAAAGTTCTGGCGCCTTAATTCGCCGAATAATTCAACAAAATGCGTTGATCAAGAAAAAAATTCAAGCACCGACAAAACAAATCTGCGAAAAATTAAGGTAAATTCGCAATTGGAAAGACTATAAGAATTGAGAAAGGTGCAAGCTTTGCAAACAGAGGGTAATGAAGAATAAGAGAGATCTAGAAAATAGGGTTTGGCAGTTTAATTTTTGGGAAGATTGGTTGTGCATTTCGAGGATGGTGATTTGGGAGGATGAGAAGGGGAGATGGCAGGGGTAGGGGGAGCTCTAGAGTCCGGAAGGCCAGCGAAGGAAGGGACAGGGCAAGGCCGTTGATAAATTGTTATTTGGTATGATTTTAGAGTACTTTTGAACCTTGTTTTCGTTATTACTCGGCATCAAAGTTTATTTTTTATCCTATTTTTATGCAAATTTTGTACCATCCATGCTTCACGGGTTGTTTGTGTTGTTGATGTAACGTAGCTATTTTTAGCACTATGGATGTGATCAAGCATGAGAGAGCAAGGATAAGGGCAATCTTTGTCGATAGAGCCATGTAGGAAGAAGGAGGAGTGCCTTAAAGAGAAATGAAAAGCTTTTGGAGAGCCTTGAAGGGTTGTTTGCGTAAGCGTCAACTTCAACTGACCATAACTTTTTATCTACTCAACCTTTTAAAGTGATTCAAATTGGAGATTAAATTTCGTCTCAAGAGTTTTCCAACAACTGGTCACAAGTCCATTTTTGGCAAGAAACGAAGAAGTTACAGCCTCCCGAAGTTAAGCTGTCTAGGCAGGGAATTCTGCATGGACGTGCAACTAAATGGCACATCCGTGCAAGGCTACACGTCCGTGCCAAAATCTGCACGTTCATGCAGACCTGCTCGATTCTTGGCAGTAGCTACTGCCCACTTTTTCACCCTTCTGCATGTACGTGCCAAACTCGGCACGTCCGTGCCAAATTTGGCACGTGCATGCAAGCCTGTTTCCGAGCTCTTTCCTCGTTTTCTCCGTCCTTTTTGTTTTGAGGGTGATATATTTACCCCCTTGGCTCCCCTTGTACGGGTAGGGAAGTTTTTAGAGCTTTCTCTTAGTTTGTAATCCTAGAACATTAAAATTCTCAAATCATTAGTTAGATTTTAATTATTATTAATTTGGAAAATTCAATTTCAACCATTGTAGAAGACAAGATTCCACCATTGTTGTTCAAATTTGAAGCTCCTAGTAACTTTCTCTTTCCTTACTCTTCTATCTTCTCTCATCTTAGTTGTTAATTACTTGTTTAATTCTTGCATGCTTAGATTGTTTATTAGTTTAATTCTTAGTTTGAATTTGTTCATGAATTGCTTAAACTCTTTAATTGCTTTATTTTCCATGGATTGTAAGTAGTCTATTTTCTAAGGTTTAGGTAAAACCCTCAATGTAGTCACAAAGAATTTGTTGCATGTGCTAATTTGGTAATTATTGGGTGTTAATTAGTTGAGCTTAAGTGGTTACATTGTTTAGTTCTTGTATATGGCCATTGCTAGAACTATTTATCCAAGCTTTCTCAACGAAGGATCGAGAGATGAACTTGAGTTAGCTCCCTTATGCTTAATTGACTTGAAATGCCATGAGAATAGGAATTTCCAGTCAAGGGAATGTTTATGTCATCGTGATTATGCTTTAACACTTGTTTTATGCTTTGTAACCACGAGAGTAGGTTGTATTCATGATTCAAGTAATCCCTCTAGCTTGAGAGAGTAGTTGGGTGCCTTAGATGAATTCCCCTAATTTATCCCCTTAATTTACCTTGATTGTTGCATGCTAATTGTGATTTGTGATGAAGTTGAGTGGTACAACCCGAGCCCTAGATTCCTCTTAATATTGTTAATCTCCCCTTAGCTTTTAGTTGTTTTGAACTAGTAGAAGTTACTTAAAACCAAACCAATATCGACTTCATTTAGCTTATTTAAACGGTAGTATCTCGGTGGTTGATTCAACGCCTCTCTTGGGTTCGACCCTTTCTTACCCTTGCTATTAGTTAGTGAGACCAAGATAAGATTTATCTTTGGTAGGCTCGACGATGGCCTAAAAAAAACATTTTAATTGGTTGAGTGCATTAAGTGAGAGTATTTTAGGAATTTCAAGTTTTTATTTAAGAAAAATTGTTAACCATGGTTAAGTATTCACTAAATTGTTTCATCATTAAGGTCACCATTGGATAATTATAGCTAAATAATTAAAGTTACCAAAGATAATAAGAATTTTTACAATTTACCACTGAGAAAATTAAAAAATACGGTGTTATCAAAGATAATTTCCCAACTCTTTAATCCTCTAATGATATAAATCATGGACAAGCATCTATTGTAATTAAAAGTCAAACTAGTGTATCATGACATATGTGAAAAGTTTGACTGTGTCAGTTATTTTGGACAGATAGAGTAAATAATTTTATTTTCTGAAAAAGAAAGATGTTTATAACTGTCAAATTAAGCTCTTTTGTCTGAGATCAAATTTACTTGAAAAAGTATTTTGTGTGGAAATAAGCTTACGCTGAATCAACTTAGGTTTTGCATATGAATTATACTTGTACATACTATTTACTTTTATCTTAATCTATCCAAACTTTTTGTAGAGTGATTATCATTATGTTTTCAAAATGACAAGCAAAGCAATGCGTGCTAACATAGATATCTGGTAATTCTTTTTTTTTTTTTCACGTAATATTATGCAA